ACTATATAAGTTTGTGTGTGGGGGGGTGTTATACTTTTAATTTTTTTAGGTTAATATTAGGTTAGTTTTTTTAGGTTTAATTTTTTTAGCTGAGTTTCAGCTGTGTATATATGTACGCAATACAGGCATACTTCAGAGACTAGTGAGGGTTTTTTCCCTACCATTGTAGTCAAGCATGTATCTCAGTAAAGTAAGTCAAATCAAATTTTTGGTTTCCTGTGCATATAAAAGTTACACTTATGCTGTAGTACATTAATGTTGCAATACTGTAGTACATTAATTACGCAATAGCATTATGGTTTTTTAGTGTACGTATTTTTATACTTTATACCATATACCTTTATGTCTATATATTTTACTGCTAAAAATTGCTAACCGTTATTTGAGATTTTAATGAGTCATAATCTTTTTGCTATTGGGAGGGTCTTACCTTTTTTTTTCTTATATCATTTATTGTCAAATTGGCTTACATATAACACCTCGTGTTCATCCCAGCAACTGCATGGAGAGTCTTACGTTGATGTTGATGGCTGCTGACCGATCAGTGTGGTGGTCGCTGAAGGTTGGGATAGCTGTGGCAGTTTCTTAAAAAACAACAGAGAAGTTTGATGCATCCATTGATTCTTCGTTTCATGAATGATTTCTCTGTACCATAGTGATGCTGTTTGGTAACATGTTACCCACACCAGAATTTCTTTTCAAAATTGTAGTCAGTTCTCTTAAACCCTGCTACTGCTGTATTAACAGCGTTTATGTAATATTCTAAATCTTTTGTTGTCATTTCAACAATCTTCACAGTAGATTCCATGTCAAGAAACTACTTGCTTTTGCTCAACCATAAGAAGCAACTCCTTCATTCGTTAAAGTTTTATTATGAAATTACAGCAAGTCACTCACATCTTCAGACTTTACTCCTAATTCTAGTTCTCTTGCTATTTTCTACCACATCTACAGTTACTTCCTCCACTGAAGTCTTGAACCTCTTGATCATCTATGAGGATTGTCAGTCATCTCTGAGGATTGGGATCCACTTCTTCCAGAATCCCATTAATATTGATATCTTGGCCTCGTCCTATCAATCAGGAATGTTCTTAATAGCATCTAAAATGGTGAATCATTTCCAGAAAGTTTTCAATTCACTTTCCCCAGATCCATCAAAGAAATCATTCTCTGTGGCAGCCATAGCCTTAGAAAACATACTTTTGAAATAATAAAACTTGAAAGTCTAAGTTACTCCTTGATTCTTAGACTGCAGAATGAACGTTGTGTTAGCAAGCTCAAAAATAACATTAATCTCATTGTACATCCCCGTCAGAGCTCTTGGGTGACCAGGTGCCTTGTTAATGACCAGTAATATTGTGAAAGAAATCTCTTTGAGCGCAAGTAGGTCTCAGCAGTGGGCATAAAATATTTGGTAAGCCATGCTGTAAACAGATGTGCTGTCATCCATGTTTTGTTTCATTTATATAGCAAAAGCAGGATAGATTTAGCATAATTCTTAAGGGCCCTAGGATTTTTGGAATGCATTTTAAAGAAGGGGGAAAAAAAAACCCTTTGCTCTACCTTTGAGTCACCAGCTGCATTAGGCCCTAACATAAGAGTCAGCCTGTCCTTTGAAGGTTTAAAGCCAGGCATTGATTTTTTTTTTCTAGCTGTCAAAGTCACAGATGGCATCTTTCAATAGAAGACTGTTTTCAGTCTGCATTGCAAACCCATTGTTAGTGTGACCACCTTCAGTAAGTAAGTGAGCTAGATCTTTGAGATCACTTGCTGCGGCTCCTACATCGGCACTTGCTGCTTCATCTTGCACTTGGATGTTACAGAGATGGCTTCTTTCTTTAAACCTCATGAACTGACCTCTGCTAGCTTCATACTTCCCTTGTGCAGCTTTCTCACCTCTCTCAGCCTGCATAGAATTAGACAGGATTTTGCTCTGGACGAGGCTTCGGCTTAAGGGAATGTTATGGCTGGTTTGATCTTCTATCCAGACCACTCAGACTTCCTCTATATCAGCAATAAGGCTGTTTCACTTTCCTATCCCTTGTGTGTTCACTGGACAGCATTTTCTTCCAGAACTTCCTTCACAGTCACAATTCCAGTGTTTGGTTAAGAGGCCTCATTTTCAGTCTATCTCCGCTTTCTATGTGCTTTTCTCACTAAGCTAAATAAATTCTAGCTTTTGATTTAAAATTAGAGATATGCAACTCTTCCTTTCACTTGAACGTTTAGGGGCCATTGTATGGTTATCAATTGGCCCAATTTCAATATTGTTGTGTCTTAGGCAATAGGGAGGCCTGAGAAGAGGAAGAGAGATGGAGGAACAGCCAGTCAGTGAAGCAGTCAGCACACACATGACATTTATTACAGTTCACGGTCAATAATAATAATGAGAAAATTTGAAATATTGTGGGGATTTCCAAAATATGACACGGAGATATGAAATGAGCAAATGCTGTTGGAAAAATGATGGTGATAGACTTCTTGATGTAGGGTTGCCTCAAACCTTCCATTTTTAAGAAATGCAGTTATCTGAGAAGCACAGTAAAGGAAAGTGCAATAAAACAGGATGTGCCTGTACTTCGATTTATTTATCCACGGTACTGTTGATGGCCATTTTGGCTGTTTGGCTACTATACACAGTACTACCATGAATATTTTCATTCATATTTTCAAATATAAATGTGCAAATTTTCTAGGGTATATACCTAAGAGTGGAATTACAGAGTTCTAGGAAATGCACATCTTCAACTTTACTAGATAATGCCGAATTAATTCCAAAGTGGTTGTACTAATTTATTCTCCTACTGTTAGAGTGTAAGGATTCAAGTTATTTGTTCTTCCCATTTATGTTTATTGGGCACACACAGCAGTAAGTAAAAAGCCAAAAAGCCCTATTCTCAGGGAGTTTATATTTTAGTAGCGAGAGATAGCCAAAATATTTACTGTATCAAAATGGAAACAACAAAGCAAGGAGAGGGGATGTTATCTCAGCTGCTCTTGGACCCATATGGGGATTAGAGACTTAAGGGGATAAAGTACAGCCCGGAAGCCCTGGGCTTTGTTCAGTGGTCAGCATAAACAGAGATAGAGGTATGATGAGATTGGTTGGGCCTTATGCTTTCAAGCTGATAATGATAGTGAAGCTGTGGGTGGGGCGTGGGAGGGGGTTTGAGAATCTCACTAGGAGCATTTCAGGAGACCCTCTTCACCTATTAGTGGTGAAGCTTAAGAATGAGGAAGGAGGCTGGTGATGAGTAATCTTATTCTGATCACTTGGTGCTTTGGGGGCCCCTTTAGACTCTTGCCCGTGGCAATTTAGAGGATCAGGGGAGGGCTGTCTTTTCTAAAACATAAGGAGCACTAGAGTTTCAAATTCAGGAATACCTGGGTCTCTAGTGCTTTGTTGACTCATGAAGTTGAGGATCGAAGGTTGGGGGAAAGGTGGTTTTATTTTGAGTACTTGGAGCTTTAGGGCTCCCTCTTGACACTGCCAGTGGAGATGTGGAATCCTGGGGGAGGGGTGGTTTTGCCTAGAGTGTGCAGCCCCCATTGTCAGACTTGTTAATTTTTGCCAGTCTGGTGGATGTGAAGTACTGTCTTGTGCTTTCAATGGCATATTCCCGTTTCACTCCAAAAATCCACAATTCCTTACTTTTCAGTGTTAGACTTAGCCATATAACTTTAGTAACTTTTATGTTGAGCCCCACGCTTGTGTGGCTTTATTCATCTGTTCCATGTCTAGACCTGCAAGATTTCCCAATTCAGTAACTGAAACTTATTCTGGTGGCTCTTGTCAGTGGACCCTCAGGGAAATTGTTATGTTCACTGTTGTCACCATAAAGGTTGTTAAGTCAGGATCCCTGCATCCCTTCTGTTCACTTTGCCTGAGGAAATGAATTGGTAGTCCACACCCATCCATTGTTACCTAACCTCAAAAAATACATCAGTATATCTACTGACTCTCTCACCGCATCTGGGGCTCCCATCAGAATAGGAGCCCTATGTTGCAGCACTGTCAGAAACTCTTCAGTTACCTTTTAAACTTGCCATTTTAAAATCTGAGAATCACAGCTACTGCTGATAGTTTGCAAGGAAAATGCTTTGGCTAAACCACAACTAAGGCTGTCACTCCTCAGCTTTTCGGGTCAAATCTTCATGTAGTTGTAGCACTCACGCCTTCCCCAGGGTCCCTTAGTGCTCTCACAGGATCAAGCCTCAGAACTCAGAAAACACTGCAGAAAAGCCAGGTGTATGTTGTATTCTGACATGTAGTACTTTCTAGGTGGAAATGTAGTTGTCCCATACATCCCTACCTTATTTACTTGCTGTATTCAGTGTCATGAAGGAGTACAAAAATGATGATAATATCTATAAATTTCAACTGATTTTCTAAATATTTTCCAAGAATTGCTCAGGACTATTGATGTGCATAAACCTATAAAGGTAGATGTGGATAATAAGACCTGTCCCTCCTGGTTTATTTTTCATCCTTCAAAAGGATCTCCTCCAGCTTCCTGTAGTTAGCTTTTAAGAATATTTCCTGATGATTTTATAAGCATTTTCCTGGATGATTGAAGTCTGTTGTAGAAAAGCTGTCACCATTGTTAATGTTATCCCACACATTACAGGAATATCGTATATGTCACCCATTTCACAGAAGAGATACACAAGAAATTTCAAAGTTTTACCAGATTAAACACGATTATACAGACTTTATTGTTACTAAAATGCAAAAGGAGTTAGCAAAAAGAAATCTAGTCCTAAAAATATAAAGCTAGTACAAATCTGAAATGAACCAAAATCCTTCCTAATGCCCAAAATAAGCATAAGAGTAGCTCCCAACAGATAAATTGGTTTGAACCCGCATGAAATGATCATGGAGAAACCCACAAGACAATTCTCATCCACCGTGACTGGCTCAGATGATTTCCAGATGCATGTTTCTAATATTTGAGCAACTCAAAGCCCATATGAGTCGTCTGAAGTTTTATCATTTACAGGTTTGTGAAGCATTTCCAGACCCTCCAACCAACTCAACATCAGCTACTTCTCTGTGACTGGGTCCTGATTAAGGTCCTCCCACGAAAGACTTCATTGGATCCACGCTCAAGAGGACTCTACCAGGTTTTCCTGACCCCCTCCATCGCTGTAAAGTGCCAAGGCCTTAAGACTTGGGTACGTGTGTTACAACAGCAAGCGCCAGCATCCACAAAAGACCCATTGGACCTGTCAGCTCCTCTGTTTCACCAAGCAGATGTAATAATTTACCAGCAAAGCAGAGTAAGCCAAGTGCCTCTGCATGATACCACCAGCTGATAACACACAAGAAAAACAACTAATTTAGACTAGAGCCCTATCTTTTCTTGAGAAGCTTGGATTTCAAGGAACTATTCTGAGATCTGTGCTGCTAATAAGTGACTGACAACATTATAGACTGATTGGTCCCTGGGTTCAGAGACTTGAGTTGCAATTGAGTGAAAAATAGACAACGAAATCTTGAAGAATTGCACGGAGGTGCAAGCCAAATTTAACTCTGGTCACCAAGTATTGTTGGTTGGACTGAGAAATTGCTAAACCAGACCTGTAATAGGACTGGTTATTTGGGTATCTCTGTCACTGTTGCCTCTTACTGTTACATTGCTTTCTGTGTTGTTTCTCTAGGCCCAGATGTTCTCAGATAATTCACATTGCCCTGACTGTGGACAACAGTGGTTCCCTAGTTTAGAACTAGGCCATTGGTTGTACCAGACTGAACTTGTTGAAAATGAATGTTACCAAGTATTCTTAGACCGTATTAACAGAGCTGATTATTGCCCTGAGTGTTACCCTGATAACCCTGCTAATAGAAGTCTTGTTCTTCCTTGGTCTTTCCCACTTGAGTGGGCTCCTCAAAATCTTACCAGATGGACCTTTGAAAAAGCTTGCCACCCATTTCTTCTGGGTCCTCCTCTGGTTAGAAAAAGGATTCATGACTCTAGAGTAGCTGGTTTTAACCCTGCATTGCAGTTAATCTTGACGAGAACAGATAAAACCTTGAACAAAAAACTTGGCCAAAACAAATAACTTCTTAAACATTCGAAATCATGGAGACTCTAGAGTTTTGTATGAGTAGCCCAAGGAAGATGGAAAAAAGACTCTTTCTAAATATGATATAGACCATCACTACCTTGGGGATCTGATTAAATTGTTGGATTTGCTCCCATGGTCTACACATAACTTTGTTCAGCATGAATTTAGTCAGTATTCTCGCCAGACTGTTCATCTAGAACCAGTTTAATCCATGTTCCTTATGTTTTGGAATTAGCTTACCCCTCCTAGAAAGTTCCACAGCCTTATGTGGACATATGACAGGGTAGTTCTGGAGGAGAAGCCCTATACTGTGTGTACCTTAATGATACTTCTAGTGATAACTTTTGTGGGAAAGCATCCTTATAGCTGGATTGTAGATTATTCCAGTAAAACTAGATATTTTAATAAGAAGCTACATTGTTCTAAATTCCATCTGTTACGCATTAACCAGTGGTAACACATAGATTATACAAAAACATGCAGAAGTACTATTATCTATACTCACTTGGCTCTACATAAGCAAAGACTATCCTGTCTTTGTGGTGACAGAATGTCTTCCTCTAGAAATGGCAAAGTACTTCTACGATGATAGGAGATAGATGATGAAAGGAGTTAATCAAGCTTGACTTCATAGATACTATGAACAGTCTAGGGAAAGCATCTCTCTCAGAACTAAGAATGTTTTGCTGTACATTGATCACATTCTGGCCTTCACTTGTTTATGAGAATCATGGAACCACAGTATAGGAGAAACTTAGAAAAAATCTGTTGAAAACATCTCAGAGGCCACTGAACAATTTTAAAATTCCTCTTAAGATAATAGATAACTCAGTGCTTGTGTAGGAGCTCAACAATGTTCGTAAGGTCCCAGGCTCTTTCTGTTCTTCCCCGCTGAGATCCTTATCATGGTGGCTTTTTGTCCTTATAGTTGTTACCCAATGAGTACAGTGTGGCCATTGCTGTTCCAGACATTTCATTCCTGATCAAAGGCTGGAAGTAGGAAGCAGAATGATTTTTCCTTTCAAGTCTCTGTCTTTTATTTGGGAAAAAAGCTTTCTCCAAAGTCCCTTGCACATTTTCTTCTATCTCATTAGAAGATACTGGTTCACAAGGGAGCCTGAGAAGCCTGGCAGAGGGGAATGGGGTGAGCAATGTCTGGGTAGGACATCTTGTGTCCCCTAATAAAATCAGGGCTTTTTTAGGAAGGGAGAAGTGAGGAATGGATGGCTGTTGGAATGCAACAAATGCCTGCCACATGTTGTGCAACCCGAAGTTATTTGTTAGTCTGTATAAAGGATGTACCCTGGAGACCTACCCTGTATCTGCCTTATGTCTATCCAAATGGAAGTTCTCTCCTGTTACATTGCTGAATAAACTGTGTGGACTGCTAAATTGAGTGAAGACTAGTTAGTTTATCATTAACCCTTGGTTAACAACTCCATTCACTATCCTAAAGCTCTTTCTAAAAAGTGAAATTCTATTTAGAGATACTGCTTTTGATCAATAGTATTGTCCCCTAAATGTTTTCAAACACATACTGACAAACACTCTACATATGTGCAATTTTAAGTATCAGCAAAATGTTTTAACCAGATTGTTTTAACTAATCTCTCCCTTAAATAGTAGAAGAAATTAAGTGGATTTGTACTGTTGATTTTCACACCAATACCTGGATGAGCTTGTCAAGATACGCAGATTTCTTGATCTCACAGAAATTTTGATTCCTTAGGTTGCTTGTGGAGCCCAGGAATCTGCAATTTACAAATCATGCTGCAGGAGATTCTTAGGCACGTGCTGTAAGGATACTTTGAGAAGCACAGTGGCAGCACCTCCGTGGTGTTTAGTTATCTGGCTTTAAAAGGAAGGAAACTGGGGCACCTGGGTGGCTTAGTCGGTTAAGTGTCCGACTTTCGCTTAGGTCATGATCTCATGGTTCGTGGGTTTGAGCCCCGCGTCGGGCTCTGTGCTGACTGCCAGCTCGGAGCCTGGAGCCTGTTTCAGTCTGTGACTCCCTCTCTCTCTCTGACCCTCCCCTGTTCATGCTGTCTCTCTCTCTCTCTTCTAGAAATAAATAAAAAACATTAAAATAATAAATTTAATAAATAAATAAAAGGAAGGAAACTGTACTCACGATACTGCGAGGTAGTGATAATTATCGTACTTTGCAGGTGATATATAAAGAGGTTTCATGTCAGACTAAAGGTTGCTGTTGACATATCCGATTATAAGTCAGTCACATTTTTCTCAAGGTATAAATATGTTCTAAAATTAATTCTCAAGACAAATGATCTAGAGAGTTATCCAACATTTCAGATTATGTGAGCCGAATTAATCTATTTCCATACTGGCAGAGTTGGTTGATGCTGCTACTTGTATATGATGATGGCCATTTTAAAAATGACTTTTGTGACTACTTCCTGTTACTTTATGGCAGACTTGGGAGTGGAAGGTTAAGAGAAAAATGCTGGGGTAGCCTGGGAAGGAAATATCTACTGAAGAGGAGGCTATCTGGGTTGTGCAGGACTGACTTAAGATTCATCTCTAAGTGATAGGAGAAGGAATCCCAGGCAAGCAGGCAGGCATAAAAGAATTCCATGGAATCCAAAGAGTATGTGGCAATCAGCATGCTACATATATCTGTAAGAGTGAGATGAACCATATGCCCTTCTGTCTCTTCAGACTTCCCTGATAGCCCCTGATTCTCTGTGAAATCTTAACACAGCTTGAAAACTGCTTATTACAGAGGAAAAACAATGGCATTTGCAGCCAGTTGACCTGTGTTCATCTTTGAATTCTGGCACTATTAAATGACTTTGGGCATTTTAACCTGTCTCTCTTCAGTTTCTTCATCTGTCACATAGTGCAGTGATAACCTAGCTAATACTGTTTCGGGGTTGAATATGATAATATATGACAATCATCTGGCACATAGTTAAGTCTTTAGGACTAGAAAAAGTAGAGAACAGGTAGAACTCAGAAGTAGGGATAAGGATAGAGTCTTCATTTTATAACAGGGATTAAATCCAGTTGTTGGAGCTCAATCCTGGATTACTGAACACGTTAAGTCCCTTCCAGTGAAGGACCAGCTTGATCTTGGTACTGAGGTTGACCTTTGTAGTTGAGTCCAGTGGTGTTAGGTATAAAGGTTAAGAAGCCTACAGGGATGGATGGTCTCAAGCAAATCCTTGTCACTTTTTTAAGGCCCATTTACAGTCATAATTGTGGTAGATAAATAATTGCTGTGTGATTTGTTCTATCACCTGAGACTTTCCACAACACTAAAATAAGCAGTGTGAGAACAATTGAAGGATATGTGCAGATTTGCCCAGGTCGTATGTGCTAGAGTCACAATTCAGACCTAGATTCAGGGTACTTTTCAGTATGTTTACTACAAGCTTTTTTTGTGTGTGTATGTGTGTGTCATGGTTAAAAGTTTGGGTCCCACAGTCAGACTGAGTTCAAATCCTGACTCTGCCTTTACTAGTGTGTTCTTGGGTAAGGTTCTTAACCTCTCTGTATGTCAGTTTCCTTGTCTGTAAAATAGTAAGACTATTAATAGTCCATACATCGTAAGACTCTTGTGAAGATTAAATGAATTAATACATGAAATGCTTTGGATGCTGCTTGGCATAAAGAAGACAATAAATGTTAGCTATATATTTTTGTGGTATATGTTTTATATATTGTAGCCACAGCAGAAGTATAAATTATTTGAGGGCCAAGATACCTGCTTTTTATCCCTAGAGCCTAAAATGACAGCATTCATTAAAATAAAAGTGTTTAAAAACAAAAAAAGGTACATATACTTATTGGGCCTGGACCACCATACATTTGTCATGATGGCATTTATGTCTAAATTACCATCCTAGAGTGACTGATACTCTTTAGTCCTTCTTGGCTGCTAGGCTTCTAATTCTTCTCTCTCTCGCTCGCTCTCGTTCTCTCTTGCTCTCTTTAATTTACTACTTAGTGTGGGGATGCCAGTGCTTCCTGGGTACTTGCCTCTTCCTTCTTCCCCAGGGCTCTAGGTCTCTGTCCCCTTCCCTCCTCCTCCCTGGTTCCCATGGCAAGACTGGAGGTTTACAGGATGAGTAGAGGTTGGGTGAGGTCTTGCTGCTCTCCCAGCCCTGAGTTCTTGTCCTGTCTCCCCCGCCAGCTGGTTGTGACAAAGTGCATAGGAGGCCGTGGTTGAAGTGTACCCCTGTAACACAGATTAACATTGCTTGTGAGCTCAGAGTGTTACCATTACAGGCTTTGCCTTTTGATTCTTTTCCTCACAGAAGCTGATCCATTTTATTGCTCATTTAACAAAAGTATTAACTACTTCAAACATACAGAAAAATCCAGAAAATCACATTCACTGGGTACCCAGATCTGAAATAGTTAACATTTTGCCACATTTGCCTCCGTGTTTTTTGTTTTGTTTCAAGGATACTTGACAGATACAGTTGACCCATTCTTGACCTCACCTTATCCCTGTCCTTCCCTCAGCAGAAGCAAGCACCGAATGGAAGTTTATGTGTGTCCTTTCTGTTCATGTCTTTGTTTATTTTATATCTGTTTAAGCGATGTACAGAGCAATAAAAGAGAATTGATTGCTTTCAGAATTTTATTATTCAGTAACATCAATAACACTTATACATAAAGATGTAACATGCATCAATTTGTAGAGTTCCTCTTACCACACTTAATTTTGCATGTTGGAGTCGGCTGGAGTTGGTTGTACTGCTGCAATGTGAAGGTCGTGCAGCGTACCAGACAATGAAGACATAGCAGGCAGTCAAAGCATTACCACTGGTGCAGTGAGATGGAGCAGAAAGGATACATCTTAAAAGAACACAAGGCAGCCGCGTCGGCAGAGGAAGCAGTGAGGCAAATTCATGTCCTTATTTAGAGAAGTCCCAGGATGTGGAAATTAAGGAAGGCATCCCTCAGCCTACCATCTGGAGCATTCTCCGTAAATGGAGACTAAAACAGAACTTGTAAGGGATTTGCTGAAAGTAAATTTTTTTGTGCCGTGTGAAGCACACAGGTCTTCATCAGTTACTTTTTGCAAAAGATAGCATCAAATGACATGATGGTACCATCATGGACGTGATGATGGAATGGTTTCTTCAACAGCTGCAAAGTCTCCAACATCCCCATTTTCCATCAGGACGAGGCTCTGCCTCACTTCCATTATGCAGTCCAGAGGTTCTTCATGTACACATTTCATGGCATGGATTGGGTAACGCTCAAATGGTTGACCTGCCTCTGGAATATATTGGCCTCAAGATCTCCCAACACTCCCACCATGTGATTTGTGAGGATGTGTCAAGAACCTCCGTGTTTATACCACTTTTTCCTTGTAGCCTTGAGGGAATACCATTTCAGCTATGAACAGTGTGATATGTTACAAAGGGCCTAAATGAAATAGGCTACAGGAATGTGTGCCTTGTGACAAGAACGGTATTTACTGAGTGTTTTTAAGATTAGAGAAATATCTGTGGTGGTACCTTTTGCAGTGTTTATTGGCTGCATCCTCGTTAGCAAGTAATACATTTTTTAAAGCATTCAGTTCTGTTTGTAGGAAACAAAATTTATGAGGGTATCCTTCACGCAATAAAATGTACAAATTTTAATTTTGATGACAAATGTTAACTACCTCAGTAAAGATATAAAACACTTTCCTAACTCCAAAAGATTTCCTCATGTCCTTTTCCAGTGAGCACTTCTTCCCCTGAGGTAAAGAACCATTTGCCTATTTTAAGACTTCATATAAATGGAATCATTTGGCAGATACTCCTGTGTGTGGTTTTTTCCTCTCACATTTTTTAGATATATCCATGTCGGAGCTTGTATCAGTTCATATTTATGCCATTTGTTCTTCTGAATCCCTATAGTACACAGTTGTTTCTTAAATTGTATATAAAAGTTGTAATACTGCACTTAACACAAATTTTTGAGATATGCAGTTCATTGGTTTAATTGCCCTACATAATATTACATTGTAAGAATGTGCCATAGGTTTTTTAAATCTGCTTCCTTATTCATGGACATTTAGGTGGTCTCACTTTTTCCTCATTTTAAATTTTTTTTTTTTTTTAAATTTTTTTTTTATGTTTTTATTTATTTCTAGTAGAGAGAGAGAGACAGCGTGAGCAGGGGAGGGTCAACGAGAGAGGGAGTCACAGACTGAAACAGGCTCCAGGCTCAGAGCTGGCAGTCAGCACAGAGCCCGAAGCGGGGCTCGAACCCACGAACCGCGAGATCATGACCTAAGCGAAAGCCGGACGCTTAACCGACTAAGCCACCCAGGCGCCCCTTTTTCCTCATTTTAAACAACGCTGCCACAAATATCGGTGGGCACTTGAGGGAAAGTTTGTCTACAGCATGTGTCTAAAAGTGCAATTTTTAGGGGCACCTGGGGGCCTCAGTCGGTTAAGCATCCGACTTCAGCTCAGGTCATGATCTCACGGTTTGTGGGTTTGAGCCCCACGTAAAGGCTCTGTGCTGACTGTTCAGAGCCTGGAGCCCGTTTCAGATCCTGTGCCTCCCTCCCTTTCTCTGCCCCTCCCCATTCGCACTCTGTATCTCTCTCTCTTTCTCAAAAATAAACATTTTAAAAAATGCAATTTTTAGTTTGTAGAATCTGCGTGTCTTAATTTTTATCAGATAATTGCCATATTACTCTCCAGAGTTGAGTAACAGTTTACCTCGTTGCCAAATAGGGTTTAAGAACTCTCTGTATACCCAAATCCTCACCAATGCCTGGTGTGGCCCGTCTTGTTACTTTTTGCCAATCAGTGCTTGTAAAATGGTTTATGTCATTGTTAATTTATTTTCCATTTCCTTAACCACTCTTCTTATTGATTCATTAGACTGCTAGGTTTTCTCTTCATTTAACAGTTTGTTCATCTCTTTTCCCCACTTCTTTTTTCATGGCATTACCTGTTCCTTACTGATTTGGGAGAGAGTCTTTATATATTCTGGATATTAATTCCTTGCTGATTTTATGTGTTGGCTGATATTTTTCTAGTCAGTGAATTTATGTTTTAACTTTGATTTTGATGATTTGTATAGAAATTAACATTTTTAAAATGTGATCACATTTGTTCAGTTTTCTCTTTATGGCTTGTATTTTATATCTTGTTTAAGAAAACCTTGAGGTTATAAAGGTATCTGATATCTTCTTTTGAAAATTCAAAGTTTTGCTCTTTACACTTAGGTTTTTAATCTGAAATTGATTGGGGTGCCTGGGTGGCTGAGTCAGTTAACTGTTTGACTTCGGCTCAGGTCATGATGTCACAGTTCGTGGGTTCGAGCCCTGTGTCAGGCTCTGTGCTGAATGCTTACTCAGAGCCTGTGGAGCCTGCTTTGGATTCTGTCTCCTCTCTCTGCCCCTCCTCCGTTCACACTCTGTCTCACTCTGTCTCTCAAAAAAATAAATAAATGTAGAAAACAAAAATTTAATCTGCAATTGATTTTTGTGTCAGGTAGTAGGTAGAAATCTTAATTTTTTTTCCCATTTGCGTTGTCGCTTGTCCTCAAACTACTCATTAATGCATTCTTTCCCTTTTGCCACTTTATCCAGATTTCTTTACGTATGTATGCATGTATTTTCCTGGCTCTATATTCTGTATATTCTCTTTGTCTGTTCTTGGACCAATGCCCCTATTACTATTTCATATAAGTTTCTAATAAGTCTTGATATATCTGGTAAAGATAGCCCCCCTCTTTCAGAATTATCTGTTAATGTTTTCTTCAGAATTACCTTAACTCTTCTTAATCCTTTACTCCTCTTTGGGAATTTTAGGTTCAGCTTTTCCATTTAAACAACAATCAAAAAATTGTCTTAAGACTTTGTTTTAATTTACAATGAATCCATAAATTAGTTTGGAGAAAATTGACATCAATGGTTTAGAGTCTTACTATCTCTGCATATAATGTATTTCTCTACTTAGGTCTTTAGTATGTCCTCAAGAAAATTTTATGCTTTTCTTCCTAAGTTTTTTTTAATACAGCGTTATTGAGGTATAATTTACATAGCATGAAACTCACCCCACTCTATAAAGTTCTTGCATATGTGTTGTTAGGTTTTTTACCAGGTAACTTTTAATTTTTATTTTGAGATACTTTACAGTTATTATGTGAGTAGCCTGTTTGCGTTCTAAAACTTTTGTCGCTGGTGCATAGGAAACTTTTACCCATCGTTTTCTTGGTTTGAGCTGGCAGAAAAAAAAATTGTCTTAAGAAATCTGAAAAAGACTGAGGACCTTTTATTTTCCTTCATGAACTAGGAGAGGAGAGAAACCCTCATTGCAGCCTATGATGGTAATGAAAAGGAGAGCTAGAAGCCCAGTCTCAGGAGATGGAAGAAGATAAAAGGGTAACAAAGAACTCTCCAAATCTGAGACGTGTTCCTAGATGTTCACACCAGCAGAAAGGAGTCTTGTCTAATTCCTCCCTTCCCTTCACGTTTATAATTGACACCACTCTAGACATTTAGGCATCCATTTATTTACTCATAGTTTTAATTAAATACGCTAGGCTAATGCCAGGTATGTGGTATTAAAATTTTATTTTGTAAAATTAAATTTTACAAAAGAGTTCTGTAAAAAAGACAAAGTTAGTTGGCTAGCCTCACAACTAGGCTATCAACGTAACACTTTCCAAACCTCTTTCACATATATTTTTATATTTAATCTTCATAGCAGTCCTTAGTCATTTTTACAGATAAGGAAAGTATTATTGTTCCTGACAAAAAAATACGATTTAACTATAAAATGATAGAATATTTTATTGATTATGAGTTGCCTGATTTTGATTCCTTTTGTGTATAGTTCATAATAACTTCTACATCAGTCTTCTCTGAGCATTGCTTGGAAAGGCATTGTATAAAGTGATCTAAAAAGAATGCTGTGAGAAAACCACAAAGAAGGCAGTGACAGAACTCACGTGTATTTCCTACACCTGACACCAAGGGAGCCACCTTGGTTTGTAGGTATTCCCTGTGCATTGTTACTTAATAATGATAGGTGAAAGCTTCTGATAGGCTGAGAGATTCACATGGGGCAGAAACTGAAGACATAAAGAAAACCTGCGGTGATTAACTGAGCAGTGACTTAAATTTCTACTTGTGGAATTACTTTTTGTTCCATTTTCTTTTCTTTCTTTTTAAATTCCATTTTCAAAGTGTTTCGCAAGATTCTGGCCATTTGGCTTTTTCCATCCTTTCAACACAATGGAACGTATTAGGAGATTATGGCATCCATGCAAATCTGAAGCTTTGTTTTTTACTTGTAGGCAAGGATTCTGGTCCTCCCTAAAACCAGAAAACATTCCTTCTTCACCAGAAAAGTTTCACAGAGGAACTACTACTCAGACTAAACAGACTGAATAAATGAAACTGAAGTTGGCATTTCTTCCATGTAGGAATAAAAAGTCATTTAATTCTTTTCATTTTATTTTAGTCCCTATATATGCCTTGTTTCTTGGGTCCACGGGAAGCATGAGTCTGTTGGGACTTGAGACGAGAAGAAAACAAGACATCTTCACAAGAAAACCCAGACATTAACTAAAAGTATTGCAAAGTCTGAAGAACTAGAACACAAACATGACCGACAGAGGACTTAGGGATCCTGCAGAGGGTAAGACTAGTCTGTACAGCAGGTTCATGCTGTAGGAATCTAGAGCTGTGCTAAGATCTCAGGTGACTGAAACCTGGAGTTTGGAAGTAAAGAAGTTAGCTTCCTTGATTAATTTGTTATGATTATTGTTTTTTATTTACCGAAGTATACCATAACATCAGACCTGAATTAGAAGGAAAATTAATGTTTTAGAAGCTCCAGTAGTAGGAACCCGTAGTATTAGAAAAATACATGTATCTTAGAAAGGGATGGTAGACCAATTTTTAGAGCTATATTTTTAAAAATCAAAACTGATGTGCCATCTATTTAGAGATCTTTCAATTCTAGGGAAAGATCAAATTTAAAGGCTTCATCCTCTTGTATATATAAGTTGGAGATATAAAATAGGCAAATTATGAAGTAGATATTTCAGAAAAGAAGGGCATATTTTCTTAAACCTTTTATTAAGGATATTTTAAAATATATAAAAGTAGAATACTGTAATGAATTCCCATGTACTCAACATCTAATTCTTTTTTTTTTAAACTCTTTATCTAAATTCCAGTTCATTTAAACTGTTTAATAAAATACAGTTTAATATTAGTTTTAGGTGTATAATATAGTGATTTCAACATCTAAATGTTTAAAAATTTGTTTATGTTTATTTATTTATTTTTGAGAGAGATGGAGACAGCGTGCAAGCCAGGGAGGGACAGAGAGAGAGGGAGACACAATCCCAAGCAGGCTCCAGGCTCTGAGCTGTCAGCACAGAGCCCAACATGGGGCTTGAACCCACGAACCTTGAGATCATGACCTGAACCTTGAGATCATGACCCGAGCCGAAGTCAGAAGTTCAACTGGGCCATCCAGGGGCCCCTCGACATCTAAATTTCAATTACAACTTCTATAATGCTGATCTTGTTTTCTGCCATGGAATATTTAAATTCAAATCCAAGGCATTATATCCTTTTGTTTATATATATTTTAGTTTATATCTCTTAAAGATAGATTTTTTAAAAAATATTTTTATATATTCCTAGGAGAGAGAGAGAGATAGTGTGAGCAGGGGAGGGTCAGAGAGAGAGGGAGATACAGACTCTGAAATAGGCTCCAGGCTCTGAGCTGGCAGTCAGCACAGAGCCCGATGCGGGGCTCGAACCCACGAACCGCGAGATCATGACCTAAGCGAAAGTTGGACGCTTAACTGACTAAGCCACCGAGGCACCCTTAAAGATAGATTTTTTAAAATAACTAAAATAGCATTACACTTGGAAAATATATTAATAGTTTTTCCTTAATATTATCACAAATTTAGTCAGTATGCACATTTCTCCAGTTGTCTCATATATATTTTTTCCCCCTCCTTAACCTTTTTTTTTTCTCCGCAGCTGGGGTTTTTGTTTTTTCTTTTCCCTTTATAGTGAGCCACTCTCGGGGCATCTAGGTAGCTCAGTCGGTTAAGTGTCCACTCTGGCTCAGTTCATGATCTTGTGGTTCTTGAGTTCAAGCCCTGAGTCGGGCTCTGTGCTGACGGCTCAGAGCCTGGAGCCTGCTTCACAGTGTCTCCCTCTCTCTCTGACCCTCCCCTGCTCACACTGCCTGTCTCTCTCAGAAATAAATAAAAAACATTAAAAATTTTTAAAAATGTTACAGTGTGCCACCCTGCATTTGATTGTTTTTAGGTTGCTTTTTTTTTAAGCTTTATTATAAAAAATGTCAAACATACATGAGAGACAGAGATAAAATGAATCCCATGTCCCTATCAAATGGCTTCATCTGTTGTCAACATATTGTTTCATCTGTAGTCTTTCCTTTCACCCATATTCTTGAGGCAGATTGTTGACATCCTGTAATTTTAGCCATAAATATGTGAATACTTACCTCTAAAGGGATGCTTTAAAAAAATTATAACAATATGTTGTACTTACAGGATGAACAGTAATTCCTTAGTAAGAGTAAATACCTGGCATTCAAATTTTCCTGATTATCTCATAAATATTTTTTCAGTAGCTTGTTTGATGCTAGATCCAAACCATTGGGGGTCACACATTGCCTTTGGTTGTTGCATTTGGTCTCTTTAGTTTCTCTTAATAGGTCACCCCTCCTTTTTTTTTTGCCATTTATTTTTATTTCTTGTTATTAAAGAAACAAAGTCTTTTGTCCCTTTGAAGTTTTCCCATCCTGGGTTTTACTGATTACATTCTGAGGCATGATTTAATATATTCCTCTATCCCTGTATTTCATGGAAACTGGTAGGTAGCTCTAGAATCTTGATCAGATATCTGTTCATTTGTTTGGCAAGAATATGTCATAGGTGGTATAGTGTACCTCCTATTGCATTGAATTGGGAGGTTAACAGTGTCTGCTTTTTCCCCTCTTTGTGATGTTAAAGATGGATCAGCTGGTTCAGCAGCTATCTGGTTGATCCATTGTAAAATTTCTTGTAAGTCTTTTGCATAATGGTTTTAGATGCTACTGAGGATTACTGCCTAGACACATTATTTCATTAGGGAAGAGGATATGTTTAATACAACCAAAAATTGGTTGTTATTCAAAATAGTTTTTTACATTAGTATTATTTGTTAGATTTATTAACATATAATAAGTTTGTCTTACCTTTAGTGGAAATCAAGAGAAATAATGTTTAGGAAGAGTGCCTTGTTAACTATAAAAATCTATATACATTTTACTTACTATTCAATCAGAGACCTTGTTAAAATACAAAAAAAATAGGGATGTTATTTTCAGTAAAAATCACACATTTTTATCTCAATAGCCTCTCAAGAGGATTTGAAAAACGACCCATCAGTAAGGTCTCGGGCACAGGAGACCACAGCCACAGCAGGTACCACCGAAGAAGCTCAGAGCCCAGCCCGTGCCTCTGCTCTTAACAAAGTCCACCAAGAGGTAGAAACAGTAGGTCCAGGAAGTGCAGACACAGGTGATCAGTCAGAAGATCCAGATGAAGCAAATGATGGGAACTGTCCAAAGGATGAAACAAAACATGAGAACAACCAGAGCTTTCAGGATGAAGAACAAGGGCGTCAACTCCCAGGGCATCAACTCCCTGATTCAGAAAGTCGAGGTGAAAAACCCTTGGATCCAGAACCCAACTGTTCTCCAAGTGACGAAGTGGGAAGAGAAGATGTGCTCTTACAGAGCGACTCTGCAGCCCCCCCTGAGGAAGTGAGCAGCGGGCCTGCAGTTGCTCAGGAGCCCCCTGCCATAGACCCTCAGGACGCCCAGAGCCCTGGTCATTCCCATGCAGGGCCTGAGAGCCAGGGCACAGTGAGGAAACGACTGCTGGCGCCAGGTAAGGGAACCCTCTGAATGTCTGTTTTATATTGCTTTGCTACTGAGGACACAGCACAGGTCAGGGTCCTTTTTGTCAGACTCCTTCATAGGAACAAGGCCTTTGAGCCTTGCCAAGGTCACTTGAGATAAGACTGAGCTTAGAATGAGGTCTCTCATCTCGTAGGCCAGCTCACTACACTAAAGTAGCTTCCAGCACATAAACTGCATTTTTAAACAACATTTTTATTTACTTACTGTTTGTAGTAATGTAGTATGATTAAAAAAAGGGGGTGGGGGCCAGGGAAGGACTGACTTTTTAAAACTTCACCACTGGCTTTTTCATTAATTCTTAGGAGCATATTTTTACTTAGAATTTTTTAAAGCTTTTAATTTTTGGGGAACTAACTACTACATAAATCAAGAGATGGGTATATTTAAAAACCAGCATCAGTGGTACAGTGCCCTTAACTTAGTCATATTTTAGTTTCATAAGATATTGAGCAAATCCATTAATTTCTCTCTACATGATTTTCCCCACTTGTATATTAAGAAGAACCATCATATTTTCCCTTATGAAGATACTATCTTCCCAGTGGCTAAGTCCTTAGCTGGAATTCAAAAGAGGCACAGATTCTGGTTGGCCCTACCACCTGCTAGCTTGGGTGACCTTGGGCAAGTCTCTTAACTTCTTGGTACTTCAGTTTCCTATTCATAGAATGAAGAAGTTAAACAAGAGATATCCAGCTCTCACTCTCTATAAATGTATGTGTGGATATGTATTTTTGTAAGTACTTGGAAGAGCTCAATCTGAAGTGCTTATTGGCCAAGTGCAAAGGAACATAAAATATAAGACCGTCTGTTCATCACGGACTTGACTAAGGGCTGGAAATTAATGTTTCACTATGTATCAGTGACTGATCTCAAATATATGTTTTGTTCACTAATCATTAGAATAGTCTGTAACTTCAGGAAAGTCAAGGACTATCTCTCCTCCATTATGTCTCTGTGGCACCTGGCACAGAGAAGCAACTTTATGAATAGTTGTTAGATGAATAAATGAATGATTTGTATGAACTATTATGTTCCATCAGATTTCATCAGTATGCAGGTTCACTGAGTAGAGGAAGAAAATATCATGTTAAAAATGTAGTCTGTAACAATAAACTATTTGTAAAAAAAAATAAATAAATAAAAATAAAAAAATAAATAAAATTAAATGAAAAAAAAAAATGTAGTCTGTATATGTAAGGCAACTTAATATAATGGAATGAACTAATCTACCAGATGAAAATCGTGTTCTAAGCTCAGCCACATCTTTCTCTCTCTCTTTTTTTTTAGGTTTATTTTGAGAGACTGAGAAGGAGGGAGGGGCAGAGAGAGAAAGAAAGGGAGGGGCAGAGAGAGAGGGAGAGAAAAAATTCCAAGCAGGCTCCACACTATCAGCACAGAGCCGGATGCGGGGCTGAACTCAAAAACCGCAAGTTCAGGACTTGAGCTGAATCAAGAATCAGACACTTAACCGACTAAGCCACCCAGGTGCCCCACTTAGCCACATCTCTTTATGTCACCTTGGACAAAGCCCTTCTCATCCCTGGACCTTTTGTCAAGATAGGTAAGGTAGGGCTATAGTAGGTGGTCATTAAAGATCCTTTCATATTCTGTGCTGGGATACTTTAAATTCTTATATTTTAGTGTGATGCAAATAAATACACTATCCTTTATAGGTGAAGATGGTTCTATTTCGTTTGTTTTTTTGAACAACTGTCTCAGTGCTCGCTTCAGCAGCACATATACTAAACAACTGTTTCATTTATTTTTTTAATATGTATTTATTTTTGAGAGAACATGAGCAGGGGAGGGATAGAGAGAGATACAGGATCTAAAGCAGGCTCTGCGCTGACAGCAGCAACCCCAGTCCCACAGGCTCACAAACAGTGAGACCATGACCTGAGCCAAAGTCAGATCTCAATCAACTGACTCAGCCAGGTGCCCCCGAGGATTCTATTCTATTATTTATGTTAATAAAGTATACCGTTTGAGTTCTTTTTCCCTTAAACACACATCTATACTGTAGAGTGACTTAGAGTGCTACACAATAGTGCCCTCCTTTTTTTTTTCAGCCACACATTTTAAGACCGACCTTTTTATGTAGTTCATACATTTTCTTCATCTTGTATTCCTTACTTTTCATAATTCCTTCATTAAGAGTTCCAAACCTACTTTTGTGAGCTATTTTGTAACTGTACAGTAATCTCTCCTGTCCAAATGTAGGGCCTTTGTTATGTGCATGCTTGGGGTCTTGAGCCACATGATTTGAACCCTGGAATTAGAGTTCAGGGTTGCCCTGGATGTTGAGTCTTGTGTACAGCTAACACTTCTTTCTTACAAAACTGTTTTCTTATATATGCTTTATCTTTTAATAACTGTCACATATTTATTTACTTAAAGTAAGCTGTATGCCCAGTGTAGTGTTTGAACTCACAATTCTGAGATCAAGAGTCTCATGCTTTACTGACTGAGCCAGCCAGGTGGCCCCAGCTAACATTTCTAAAATCCCTTTTTAATTTTGAACATTTTGCTGAAATACATTGTGGATAGGTTTGGCCACAATATTAGGGTGGTTGTTTCTTGTCCTTGATGTAAAGGCCAGTGAGGACTTCATTCTATTGTTCTACGTAGACTAAAAGTAATATCCTTAAGGAAAAGACAGGAAAAAAGTTAACTTTGTATGAGAAAGTATAGAAATCCACACAGCCTAATAATTCTTTGGTTTGGTAGGAGGCATAGAGTGTATGATATTCCATTAGCATATTGTCTAAAAATAATGTTCCTTTTCCCCAGCAGAGGCTGAAAGTCATCAACAGGAAACACAAAGGTTGGAAGAAAACAAAGAGAATGCACTGGATACCAGGAGAAAGATGAATAAAAAGGGTTATTTGCGTTATGGTAAGAACAAAATTGGTCCTACTGCGGTGTTGATTCACATTCAAAAGTCCTCAGAGAAAACACCTAGAAAACAAGCATTTAAACAGTTTTATTGTTTTAGGGTTTTTTTGTTGTTGCTGTTTTTACTTTACTTTGTTTTAATTCCAGTGTTGTGTTAGTTTCAGGTGTGCAGTGTAGTAATTCACAATTCCATACAACACCTCGTGCTCATCACAAGTGCACTCCTTAATGCGTGTCACGTAATTTACCCGCCTCCCCTCTGGTAACCATGTTATTACCATCCTGGTTATCTGGTAACCGTGATATTTTGCCACACTTACAAAATGAGAATTTTATTAGGAGGAAGGACTTTTTGTAAATAAGAAACTAAAGCTGCTTTTAAAAAATTATGGAGTATTAACTTCCCAAGTGGCATTTTTACATTTTGACCCTTTAGGAAAAAATGGCCTATTATGGGTAATAGGTACTTTGAGAAGATGGAAGATTATCCTGATCCTTTCTAAATCACATCATTAGTGGGGGTGGCAGGCCTGTTCCTGTGTGTGGCTGTCACCAGTCTGTCTACTCACACCCGCCTGTTGTCTGTTCTCTCCCGACTTGTTCCCCTAAAGGACTGATGGCCACTCCCCCCACCGAGGTGGCCGTGGGCGAGGAGGAGCCGATGGGGACAGTGGTGTTTTCCCCAGGGAACGTGTCCAGCAGCTCTTGGTCAAAGCACTGTTGCTATAAGCTATCTCTGGGGTGCTCCAGGGCGCCCCCCGGCACACCTCGGGGAAAGTACGCACTGTATTAACTCACAAGGAATTTCCTCACCAACAATAAATGGAGACAACCTCAAAAAAAAAATCACATCATTAGTTTTAGTAACAAATATAGTGTTACTGCCAAATAATGAAATTTAAGAGATTTAGGATTTAGCCAAAAGAAACTCACCACAGTTAGTAAAATCTGGCAGTATCTCTAACTCATTTCAGTCTACCACAAGTTTTATTTCTGATCCACGTTCTCTAATTTTGTGTTTTATTTTCCCATTCTCTGACAGGCTCCATCTTTTTTGGCTCTGTGGTCATGACTCTTATTTTGCTAAATTGTAATAGCTACTATTCCTCTCCACCCCAGCAAGTGCCCAAAAATCCAGCTTTGGAGGCCTTTTTGGTTCATTTCAGCCAACTGAAGGATAAATTCCCAGGCCAGAGTTCCTTTTTGTGGCAGAGAGGACGTAAATTTCTCCAGAAGCACCTCAATGCTTCAAACCCCACTGAGCCAGCCACCATCATATTTACAGCAGCTCAGGAGGGAAGAGAGACCCTGAAGTGCCTGAGCCACCTCGTCGCGGATGCCTATACCTCTTTCCAGAAAGTCTCTGCCATTCAGATTGATGGGGCTGCAAGAACCTTGCAAGACAGCGACTTGGTCAAGCAGTTGGTTGACATGGAGCTGAGCTCGGGATTTGAGAGTGGCCAGAAGGCCGCTGTGGTGCACCACTTTGAGTCCCTTCCCGCAGGCTCTACCTTAATCTTCTACAAGTATTGTGACCATGAGAACGCTGCCTTTAAAGATGTGGCCCTGGTCCTGACTGTTCTCCTAGAGGAGGAAACATTAGAAGCAAGTGTCGGCCCAAGGGAAACTGAAGAAAAAGTGAGAGATTTCCTCTGGGCCAGGTTTACCAACTCAGCCACTCCCAGCTCCTTCAACCACATGGACTCTGACAAACTGAGTGGGCTCTGGAGCCGGATTTCCCACCTGGTGCTGCCCGTGCAGCCCGTGAGGGACATAGAAGAACAGGGGTGCCTTTTATAAGCTAAGCACAGAGTTGGTTTTTGGAGGCCTAGATTTATTCAAAAGTCAGTTGAAAAGCCGCCTACTTCTCTGCGAAGGAAGGTTATGAAAAGCCTGGAAAATACAAATTAGCTTATTTTAGGAAAAATATTCTCATTTTTTACCTTTTGTAAAATCTTTCTAAGCTTGACAAAACTTGACTTTTTTTTCCCTGGCCTTTCAAGCAAATCAGGTTTGCAATATGCATAGAATATATAACTGAGGCTTTTTCCTTTTTTTATCCAGAAATATAGCAACAGAATCACTGCATGGGAAGATAATCTTCTCAGAATAACTAAAATGATTTTTGTTTTCTTGAGAGTCTAAGGAGCCTTTTGGCTAGTGTTTGGACTGAACTAGAGCAGTTACAGGTATGAGGCAAAGATAATTTTTAAAATGTTTTTCTATTAAATATTTTAAAAACTGATTTTAATAACCTAGTCGTGGGATTACATCTTCTACTAATTTGCATTTTTAAATAGTATGAAAAGATATGAATTCAAATACTTAGCTGTATGTAAGGCAGTGTACTTTTATTCCATTAATGGGCTAAGGTAAAAGCAACTGTTCTTAAGAAATACTCTTGAAAATTGGAAACAAAGGGGGAATTGTCTATAACCATTGATAATGAAGAAATTCCAATTGGCTGTATCTTGCACTTTTTTGAATGTTTTAGAATAATGATTTCCAAGCTATGTCTACCAGCAACCCTACTCTTTTTTTATCAGAGAGTTTCTGCATTCAGCTGCTTCAGGTAGTGGGATTCTCCATATGATTTAATGGGAACAGAGAGTTCCACTGATGATGAAATTTGAAAATTGCTGATTAAGTGAAAAAAAAATCTTAGAAGATAGGAAAATGGGTAGGAAAATGATGAATGTATTAAAACCCATGAGTTGGAAGAGGTTGAAATAACAGATTTATTGTACAGACATGCTGTTTGTGAAGGATAAAGACCTATAGATGAACAGCAGAATGTATAAATTAGTATTCTCTAAGCATATTTTTTTTTCTTTTTTTTTTTTGTGAGAATGTGCACAGGTGTGTGTGTGCAGGAGAGTGAGAGGGCTGGAGAGGATAGAGAGAGAAAGAGAGGGGGGCAAAGAATCTCAGGCAGGCTCCACATTCAGAGCAGAGCCTGACCCAGAGCTCAATCTTGTGACTGTGAGATCATGACCTGAGCCGAAATCAAGAGTTGGATGCTTAACCTGCCGAGCCACCCAAGCACCTCAGTATTTGTAAGCATCTTTCTGATGATTTTGTTAACTTCTCTTAATCATCATTTCTGTCTCCCCTGGAGTTTTATAATTGTCTAGGATGGGATTTTGAGTACCATTTAAGCAGAACAGAGTTTAATAACTAATTGAATAGGTTTTATATGGGTATGGTAGCATAACATTACCATGCTGGGTTCATTTGCTGCACCAGTGATGGAATATTACATAATGGAGCTCATTTCTTAACTAGAGGGTTAGAAATGCAAGAGATATTATACTTAGTAAAAGAAAGCAGACATGAAAAATAGATGCTAAGACATTTTAATGACCAGTATTAATTGTTGGACTGTGTTCTGTGATTGCAAGTAAGATTGAGAACAGTGTTTATGGAGACAGTAGTTGTTGATTTGCCTTGCAGCTCTGAAAGCAGAACTCTAGTAAAATTATCTTCGACCAAACGAAGGGTCTATTCTGTGTCATGGCACACCTCGGAACTGTCACCATCATCCTGGAATATTTCAGCTAGGCTTTGACCTCTCTTCTGCTGTGAGAGCAGAGTATGTATGTATAAAGTGTGTGTGTGTGTGTGTGTATCTATCTTCCTAGTATTTCCAAAAATCCTTTCAGGTTTTAATCATGTGCTTTCTTTCATACACTAATCATATTGCCAATTAAAACATGAAAGAAGTCACATGATTAAAGCATGTAAGGATTTTCAGAATCACTAGGAAGATACAGGGATCTTTATTGATACCTAAAAAGATCACAGAGACATGGGGAAGGAATCTATTGGAAAATATCTGTCACAGGACAAACACATAAATCTAACCACGGCCTTAAGTGGTGTTCAGTTGAGTGTAGGGGCATAACCTAAAGGAACTATTTTCATTTGTGACTCTGTGAATCTTTCAAATAGATTTGAGGAAAGACCTGCTTGAACAAAAAGATAAACCATAGTGAATATAGTTATCAATATCAATCCAATATAAAATCAGAGGAAATTGAAGAAAAATTGATATACTAATGTTTCAGTTTGTTTTCTGTATTTCTAGATCTCAGGTGTCAGCTAACATTCTGTCACACAAAACCAATGGTGCCTTATAGAATTGTTCTGTTGGTCTGATGACTTGCGCTACCTCAGATCCGTGAAGAACCAGTATAAAATGTGCATGTATATCAGTCATTCGCATCACAGGTGAAACAAGGATTTTAGTTTCTTTATTCAGTTGAAGATGTTTGTCATCATTTCCTTTCCATATAATTAAGAAAAAGATTTTAAAGTGGCACTTTTTTTTTTAATGCTTAGCCTGAGTTAAAGAACTTTTCCTTCCATGTATAAGTGCAATCAGCAGAAGCTCTTGTGAGTTTTCTGTTCACTGTTTCAAAACTTATTTTAAAAAGCAGTATATCGATTCTGGATTTACTCATGAATAAAATGATTATTTTTAAAGCATAAAACTTTGTTTTTTAAATGTACCAATTAAAATCGATTATCTAATGTACTTTTAATTTCTATTCAGTTGTTTCTTTTTTCCCCCCCAAGTTTCCAGGTTTTCTTTTGTAGGTCTAGTAGTTCATCTTTTATTAGTTTTATAGTTTGTTTTTTTGACTTAGAACAGTGACTTGTGGACATATGATACCATACAACACTGTTTAATTATTATCACAGAACAACTCTAATTATTACATTCTACATTACTATCAATTGCTTCTTGAATGATACCAGAGTTCTAGAAGAAACTGGTGTAGAATCAGACACTATCTTTGGACTTTTGAGTTTTTTCCCCTGTGCGGTAAATTTAAGTTTCCCAGCTAGCTTCCAAGGGTTGGCAGAGAAGTTCCAGGGGATTCCTGTCACTAAAGGTAGTAATGCTATTGTTTCTCTTTTTTAAATTAATAAAATAGGGGGGCGCCTGGGTGGCTTAGTTGGTTAAGTGTCCAACTTTCGCTTAGGTCATGATTTCGCGGTGCGTTGGTTCGAGCCCCGCGTTGGGCTCTGTGCTAACCGCCAGCTCAGAGCCTGGAGCCTATTTCAGAGTCTGTATCTCCCTCTCTCCCTGACCCTCCCCTGCTCACGCTGTCTCTCTCTCTCCTAGAAATAAATAAAATTAAAAAAAATAATAATAAAATAGTTTCAATGTATTTCATTTGAAAGCCTCCAAACTTCAGGTGGTAAGGCTCAGCAGACCTGTGACCCGCCATCGTCCAGCCAGTGACCCAGTTGAACAGTGCTTAGCTGCTGCGGTGCTTTTTTTTTTTTTCTCAATTTTTAAAAAATGTTTTATTTATTTCTGAGAGAAAGAGAGCGTGAGCAGGGGAGGGTCAGACAGAGAGGGAGACACAGAATCTGAAGCAGACTCCAGGCTCTGAGCTAGCTGTCAGCACAGAGGCTGACACAGGGCTCGAACCCACAAACCACAAGATCATGACCTGAGCTGAAGTCGGACGCTTAGCTGACTGAGCCACCCAGGCGCCCCTGCTGCGATGCTTTTGAGCCTTTCACAGTTTTTCATTGTTGGAGTTATATTTTTATCTGTTAAAAACAAGCATAATGAGCATTGATGTTAAAATAAAACATGTGAAAGTGATAATTCATCAAGGTGATCTTCACTAGGACTATTATTTGCATGCAACTGACCAAAGTTTTTATGTATAGCTTACCTAGTTACCAAGGATTTCAAAAACTAACGTTAAATAGAAAAGATCCCATTAGGGTTTTCTTTAAATGGGAATGAAGCTTATATTCATGCAGTTTATTTGTAGAGAAGTTAAAAATAGCAACATGAAGAAGCCATTTTTTAATGTCTTCTATCATTTCTTTTATATCATTATCATTTACCAATAAGAGTCACTTGATTGCCAGAAAAGCCTGCTGTCTCATCATGCACCCAGTCCAAAGGAGGACTGATTGGCACCCATCAGAAGCCTCTGCCACAGAAAGATTTCCGGGGGTGGGGCTTCCACAGTGGAGGCTGTGCAGCCGCTAAGGATGGGTGCAAGCCCCACATGCCTGGAGCAGCCCCTGGCTGCTCATCCCTTGATGACGTGCATAGGCCACCAAGTCAGGGCGACCAGAGTCCTGAAACAGGACAAGTGTGTGAAGGGTCTGCATCAGAGGAGCAGGCTCTCCAGCACCTGCCAGATCCCAAACTTGAACCTGTACAGATGCACATGTTGCCCTGAAGGCAGAGTGGGAGGAATCTGGAGTGCCTTGTGGCTGGGCTAGACTACTGGCCCCAATATCCAGCAGTAGGAGACACCCAGGAGGCCTCACTGGTGGAGAAGCCTGGGGTTCCATCAAGAAGCCAATGAAAATAGGAACTGTTCCCAGTTTGAAGCTACTGCCTCAAGATTTTTGCAGGGTAAGCTCGCTTTACACTGGAGGCTTCACCACAGGCTCCGAGGGCACGCCAGCCCAAGGCCTGAGAGCGTGCTGATGGGGACTGCGTATGCACGGACTGTGCAATTTAGGGTGGCCAGAGACCTGGGGCAGGGGCGGGTTCCAGAGGCCCCATCATCGCAGGAGCAGGCTGTTAGGGGTACATCTGCCTAATTCAAACCTCAACCTGCACACATGCACATGCTTCCCCTTAAGGCAGAGCGGCATAAATCTGGACTTCGCTGCCAGAGCAGAGCTGGCCTGAGCGTGTTCCAGTTACAGGCACCTGAGGAGCTTAATTGCTGTAGAAGCCTGGGACCACACCAGCCACAGCAAAACACAAGGATTGACTGTTGCTAGATTTAAGCTGCAGCCTCAATGATTTCCGTGGGTGGCCTGCCACCAAGCAAGGTGGTTGGGGACCAATCTGAGCCCTATAGGTCTGTGAGACCATGGCTGCCAAAGGCTAGCTGACAAGGTGAGTAGGGTGCGTATGGGGGCCACACAGGTCATGATAGGCAGAGGCCAGACCTCATGAATGAGCCACTGGGGTCTAAGGCATTTACTGCATTCCAAGCCCTAACCTTGACAAATACGCATATTTCCCCTGAAGGCTAAGCTGGAGGAATCTAGAGTGCCTTATCAGGGCAGAGCCAGGCAGGCTAGCAGGGACATCCTCCACCAAAAGACTCCTGGGTGCCCAGACTCTTCTTTTTTTCCCCCTCAAGTCTTTATTCTAGTTCGTTGGGGGTGCCTCTACTGATGCAGTCGAGTAAGCATCCGACTTAACCTCGGCTCAGGTCATGATCCCATGGTTTGCGGGTTTGGGCCCTGCATCGGACTCTGTGCAGATGGTGTAGAGGCTGCTTGGGATTCTCTCCCTCTCTCTCAGCAACCCCTACTTGTGTGCGTGCCCTCTCTCAAAATAAATTTTAAAAAGAATTAAATTGTAGTTAACATATAGTGTAATACTGGTTTCAGGAGTGGAACTTAGTGATTCATCACTTACATATAATACCCAGTACTCAACACAAGTGCCCTCCTTAATACTCATCACCTATTTAGCCCATAACCCCCTTTCCCTCCCTCCACAACCCTCAGTTTATTCTCTACAGTGAAGAGTCTCTTATGGTTTGCTTCCCTCACTTTTCTCCCTTCCCTTATGTTCACCTGTTTTGTATCTTCAGTGCCACATATGAGTGAAATCTTGTAGTATTTGTCTTTCTCTGACTGACTGCTTTCACTTAGCGTAATACATTCTAGCTCCAAACACATTGTTGCAAATAGCAAGATTTCGTTCTTTTTGATTGCCGAGTAGTAGTCCTGTGTGTGTGTGCGTGTGTGCGCGCGCGCGCGCGCGCGCACACGCGCGAGCGCACCACATCTTTTTTTTAAGTTTATTCATTTTGAGAGAGTGTGTGCAAATGCACAAATTGGGGAGGAGCAGAGAGAAAGGGAGAGAAAGAAT